TTATTGTAGAGGTGAGGTCTCGCCAAGTAGGCAATCCACTCACCTCAGCCTCCCAAGGCATGGGATTACAGGCTGAGCCACCGAGCCCAGCTAAGAGTGATTTTTTAAAAAATTATTTTATTTTATTTTTAAAATATGGGGTACAAATGAGGGTTAAGTATGATTCTTTTTAATTCCTGAATTTAAATAGGTGAATTGCACCAGATCACAGTATATTTGAAAAGTTTTAGTAGAAGAAAAGTAGATAGCCCCTTAGTGTGTTGTGTTTGTATCTGATTTTGAATGTACCATATGTACTGTGGTAGGATTCATTACAAATGAAACTTGATGGCCACGCGTGGTGGCTCATCCCAGTAATCCTAGCATTTTGAGAGGCCAAGGTGGAAGCATCGCCTGAGCCCAGGAGCTCAAACCCAGGAGCCTAGGCACTTAGTGAGACCTCTGTCTACAAAAAAAAAAAAGGGCGGGCATGGTGGTACATGCCTGTAGTCCCAACTACTCAGAGGCTGAGGGGAAGGATTGCCTGAACCCAGGAGGTTGAGGCAGTGGTGAGCTGTGATTTTGCCACTCTAGCCTGGGTGAGAGAGTAAGACCCTGACTCAAAAAAACCCCAAACCATGAAACATGATGTTTCAATTGTCCATGTGGTCCAGTCACGGCTCACCGCCCTTTCTTGTCTGTTGTAGCTACGGCAGTCGCAGGCCTACTGCACAGACACGGAGTGTCTCCAGGAACGTAAGTACCAGCACTACGGGGGGGCAGGGCTGGGCCGGGCTAGAGGCTGGACAGTGTGAATATCTGCCAGAAATTATTCTTTTCCTTCACTGTTTAAGAAAATGATTCTAAGTAATGTATTTGATACTTAAACATTTCATTTAACTTAAAAAAATTTTTTTTCTGCCTCAAAAACAAACACTGTTCGTTGAAGAAAATTTTAAAATCGCAGATAAGAAAAACTTCCAGAACACTTACAGATCACCACTGTTGACACGTTTGTGTGTACCCTCCCAGAGCTTTTCCTTAGCAGATAGATATGTGTGTGCCAGGGTCCTTTGGTGTAACTGCAACACCGAGGCTGCTCACACAAGCTCCTCACCCTGTGGCTAGCATTCATTTGCATCCCTTGGCCGGCTCAGGGACCTCCGTGTGGGAGGAGGCCATTGTTTCCCAGATTTGGAAGTCTTGGGTGACTGTTTATTGTTATATGAATATATCAGTATATATTTATCTTTAAAATATTTATTGATTAATAATACATGGTATGGATGTCCCAGTGATTGAGTTCCTTTTATTGGAATCTTAGGTTGCTGATATATATATTTTTTGATTTTATAAGTGATACTTGAACAAATACTCTTTGTATGAACATGTTTGGGAGGAAAAATAATTTTTTCTGAAACCCTCAGCGTTCTTAGCTGGAACCCCTGTAACAAAAGACAGATTAACAAGAGAAAAACAAGTTTATTAATGAGCGCAGTGTTCATCACATAGGAGAAACCATAAATGAAAAGTAACTCAAAGGTGTGGCTTGGAACTCTGGCTAATACAACCTTTTCTTTGCTTTTCTTCTTTTTTTTTTTTTTGAGTCGGTCTTCCCCGCGAGGCAGCCTGCTGGGGTCATCCGCACTCACTTCCGAGTAGCCAGAACTACAGGCGCGTGCTACCATGCCCAGCTCATTTTTGATTTATTGTAGAGATGAGGTCTCACTGCCCAGGCGGGTCTCGAACCCACGGGCTCAGGCAATCCACTCACCTTTGCCTCTCAAAGGCGCGGGATTACAGGCTGAACCACCTAGCCTGGCTTTTTTTTGTTTTTTTTGTTTTTTTGGTTTTTTTTGAGTTGGAGTCTTACTCTGTCACCCAGGCTGCAGTGCAGTGGCACATTCATGCATGGCTACCTCAGCATCAACCTGCTCTGCTCCAGCAACCCTTCCGCCTCAGCCTTCTTTTTTTTTTTGAGTCGGAGTCTCACTCTGTCACCCAGACTGGAGTGCAGTGGCCGCTCCCGGCCACCGCAGCCTTGACCTGCTGGGCTCTGGCGATCCTTCCGCCTCAGCCTTCTGAGTAGCCAGAACTACAGGCATGCGCTACCACGCCCGGCTAATTTTTTTTTATTTATGGTAGAGATGAAGTCTCACCAAGTTGCCTGGGCTGGTCTTGAATGCATGGGGTCAGGCAATCCACTTATCTCAACCTCCCAAAGTGCTAGAATTATAGACCGAGCCACTGAGCCCGGTCTTATACCACATTTTCAACAAAGGAAAATAAATTTGTGGATAAATGGCAGGACAAAGGAAAGAGACTTTAGGTTTCCAAGGGTTGGGAACTGGGAAGATAAAATATATGGAAAGAAAGCAGTGGAGTGAGGCTTACATATTCCTCTAGTACTATCCGTGGGCTGATAAGATTCTGTAGCATTGAGAATTTATATCTTGCCTTCAGGCAGAAAAGGAAGGGATAGAGATAACTTTTCTTCTTTTTGCTACTTCTTAATTGTCTTCAGCTCCAAAATGATTTGTGTGTCAATGAGGCATATTTTGGAGTGACAGTCTGGTTTTCTTTACACATGTTAAGGCATTTTACATATTGCCAGATTGTACTTATTAATAGGGTAATATATTATATATATATATATATATATATATATATACACACACACACTAGAATAATAAATTAACATATTATATGTATGTAACATATAGGCTCATATAAAGATAAAAACGTATACGTAACATCTCTAAAGCAGAGCTTCACTTTATTATAAATATGAAACTAAAACAAGATGTAGTAACGTAGCATTATGTAGAGACCTGTTATTATGCTGTTATTTTTGTTCCTTTGTGAACTGAGTGTCCCATCAAAGTCTATCAATATAGCAACTTAGAGAAGTAGCTAGTACAGTGCCTGGCCTACAGCAGAAATGCTGCCAGAACATAGTCCATTGGTACGCTGTATGCTTGTGTTAGGATGATGCGTGCTGGCTTCCCCATTCCAGATTTCTTTTTGCTGCTACTTTGGTAGTATTCATTCATCCACAGTGTGCAGTTCAAATATCTACCTTGACAAGTAAAGCTAAAACCTGCTTTTCTAGTTGAAAATACCTTCACTGAAAATATCTCCACTGTGGGAAACCAGGTGTTCATCACATGGGCGATGTTTGTAAGTCTTGAGCCAGCCCCGCCTGTGACCCAAACATACTCTTATTCCTGTGGGTGAAGTGTCACTTCCTAGCTTCATATAGAAAGGCAGAACTTTAGAGCTTGAATGTTCACTTAGCCATATTGGCAAGTTGTCCCCCGCCCCCTACCCCCAGTTCTTTTATCATATGGTGAAAATCCTTCCTGAGAGCCAGTTCCAATTCCTAGCACTTGCTGACTTCTTTCCAGAGCCTCCCTCTGTCCCTGTGGCTCTGACCTCTTAGCCTGGGAGTGCTCCAGCACTCAGCCCCTGGGCCTGTTCCCTTTCTGCACTCACTCTGTAGTGGTCTTATCTAGTCTCCTGGCTTGGTATGTGTGTGCTGAGGACTGCCTTCCAGGCATTTCCATGGGACCTCTCGGGCATCTAAGCCAACATCTTCAGAATCCCTGCTCCTCTGGCAGTCTTTCCCATGACAATGAATGGCAACTCTGTCCTGCAGGCCATCCTTGGCTTCTTTCTTCTTCATACTCTGCTGCTGTCTATTAGCAAGCACGGCCTTCCACATATACCCAGAGTCCTTTACTTCCCCTTGTCCCGCTGCCCCCTGCCTGCTCTGGGCCATCCGCTCATGTAGGTTATTGCAAGTGGCCTTTTATCATCTCCTTGTTTCTCCTTTTCCAAAACACAATAGCTAGTGTGGTCCTGTCAAAGTGAGAGTTGAATATGGTCTCCTTTTCACTCAAAACTCTTCAGTGATTTTCTATTTAATGTACAACAGAAGCCATGGTCCTTATTGTGACCTAGAAGGCTATGTGATCTGGTCCCTGGTACCCTCTGATTTTATCATTTTCTTATACCCCACCCTCCTCCACCTCATCACTCACTCCATCTGCACTGGCCTCCAGGGACACACCCACAGGCTCTTGAGTCAGAAGCTCGTGCTGTTCCCTCTCCTGGAATGTTCTTCTATACTTTCTACCTTTTACCAGCATCACCTTCTTGGTTTAGGAGATACCTCCCTGCCTGAAATTTCATTTGTTTCCAGTCTTCATCCCTTTGTGCTACTATACCAGAACACCTGAGACTTGGTAATTTCTAATAGCTAGAAACTTATTTGGCTGGCAGTTCTGGGGGTTGGGAATCCAGGATCGAGGAACCGTGTCTGGTGAAGGCCGCTTTGCTGTGTCATAACATAGTGGAAGGTGTCTCATGGTGAGAGAAAACAAATCCACTCCTGCAGTCACAGCGTTAACTCATGCCGGGAGGGCCTTCATGACCTGATCATTGCTTAAAGGTCCCATCTCAGCGCTGTTGCATTGGGGATTAGATTTCTAGTACATTAACATTGGGTCATATTTACACCATGGCATTTCCCACACCCCACTTCTGTTTCTTTATTTTTTCCCTTTAGTACCTGTCACTATCAATTATATATTTTACTTATTTATCATATGTCAATCGTAACTTATGTCATGCCCCTTGAGAGCTGAGACATTTGAAGGTGGGTGGTCTTCTTAATTGTCTTTCATATCTCTAGAACCAAGGCAGTACTTTCCCATCTCCCTGTTTCTGTTGGTAGTTTTCAATTATCTGGGTCCAAACTTTGCCATCTTCCTTTAGCAGCTCTTGCCTTCATCTCCTGGATCTTGTAGTCACCACATTTTGTTGTTATTGTTAAGCCAGGGTCTCACTCTGTTGACCAGGTTGGAGTGCAGTAGCACAATCATGGCTCACCACAGCCTCTATCTTCTGAGCTCAGACAGTCCTACCACCTCAGCCTCTCGAGTAGCTGGGACTACAGGCACACACCACCACAGCTGGCTAATTATTTTATTTTTTGTAGACATAAGATCTCTATGAGCCGGGCTCGGTGGCTCAGCCTGTAATCCCACGCCTTTGGGAGGCTGAGGTGAGTGGATTGCCTGAGCCCGCAGGTTCGAGACCCGCTGGGGCAACTTGGCAAGACCTCATCTCTACAATAAATCAAAAATGAGCCGGGCGTGGTAGCACGCGCTTATAGTTCCAGCTACTTGGACGGCTGAGGCGGAAGGATCGCCGGAGCCCAGCGGGTCGAGGCTGCGGTGCCGGGAGGGCGACTGAGACTCCAACTCAAAAAAAAAAAAAATCTCTATGTTGCCCAGGTTGTTCTTGAACTCCTGGGCTCAAGTGATCCTCCCACTTCAGCTTCCTAAAATACTTGGATTACAGGTATGAGCCACCATGCCTGATGATATTTTGTTGATAAAATGCTTTCTTATTATAGAAAGCAGGCATCTGATGAACGTTTCTGTGCCTTTCATAAAACCACCTTTAAAGACACAATTCATTTTATCCCCTATTATCTCACATATATGTGATCATACATTGTATAATGACAAAAAACTGGCTTAAAAGCCTATAATTAAAGCTATTAATTATAAGCTTAGAAATTCTACTAATAATCTCCGCCTTTTAAACAAAATGCAATATTGAAACAAATAGGAGATCAATATTAATTTGGAATATCCTATTTAGTAAACAACATGTAAATTTAAACCATTCAAATCTCTGTGGTGGTATAAATATGATATACACCTTTAGATATAGATCACATAATA